ATGCATTCCAATCGTCACAATGTGTCCGAAACTCACTTCGTCTAACTGATGAAAGGCTGATAACAGTTCAATCCTTGAATTTCATGGCTGAATAGCTAATCATATATCTCAAGTGTTCTTTGGAACAGTTGAATAAATTTCGGTATACAGAGTAATTCATGATTAAAATTTATGACGCAAAAATGGAGGAGCAAGCGAAGGTAATTTGCCAATATAATTGATACAACTTTAAACGTTTTGAAAGTATTCTAACAGATACCATTGAAAGGAACGTCTGATCACGTTTACTTGGTCCAAATATGAAGAGAAATCAGATCCAGTATGTATAGTTGTTAAATCAAAATGTGTAATGTCAATCATAATGGAAACTGTAAAGTTTTTATTGGATTGTATTACATCCATCGACTCTGCCGTTAAAGCGACGCACTAGTGAGCAAGAACCATGTTTTAATCTTTACACGCTTAAAGAACGGTGTGCGAAAACACCAGAGATGTTAGGACGAAGCAATTTAAATTATATATGATTCATAGAGAACCGATAGAGAGATTTACTGCGCCTTTTTTAATAACAAACATGGTCAATCATTTTTAAATCACGTATATTGGTTGTTTGGAACAGCAAATGACTGGTTTCCTTCGAAATGTCTGGATCATGTGCAGACTTCCGCGATAGAATCATGGTCGTGCCCACGTAGCTGTAGAGTGCTAAAAACAGGGCATTTGTATTTTAGCTATATGTTCGTGTTTCAAAGTTGACTCCGATATGCTGGAAGAACAAAGAACAGCTATCCGGAATTCCGAGGCTTAACATAAGCTAAAAATAAAACAAAATATAGGAGCTTTCGGTTTACAGGCAGCTACTATTGAGGCCTTTACTATAATAAATTTTCTGTCGAATTGCGAAGTAATGTGTTTTTTAAAGTTATATTTTGGTTGCGTAGTTTACATATTTTGTTACGACAATTTAGCCAACGCTTACGGATGTAACATTCTGTGCATTGTTTCTTTCATTTTGATTGGTCGCTCGATATTGACAAAAAATTGAGCCAAATGCTATGGAGTTGTGTTGAAAAGTTGATGTGGTTGTTCTTTCTACGTTATTGTATAGAAAACTCATTACTTAAATTGAGTAGCGGCGCTGAAAAATCCTCTTTTCCAGGTTTATTGGTTTTACTGTGGAATCCAGAATTCACACTATATAATCTTCAATAACTTTCTATTTGACATAATGTTTGATATAAATGTTTAAACTGACACAAGTGTAACACCAATGTTATCACCATTAGTTGAATTCATATGATAACTGGTCAGTCCCAGTAATGCATATTATTTACTCGATCAGTCACCGATCAAATGACAATAAGATCAGTACAAACGAAGTTACTGTATTTTCTACCTAATTCAGTCCTGTAAAATGTAGTGCCCGCAGTGTCGAATCACCTGGACTAGTGACCACATTGCAACATGATCGATAGCATTCGATCTGCACTAATAAGGACTAGACAAGCATGACACTGATCACCACCCAGTGATCAATCAATTGTGATCACATCTCAGTCCTACAGGAGGTCAGTCGCGGCTCGGATAGCTCAGTGGTAACGTCTCTGACTGTGAAGCTGGTTGACAGGAGATCAAATCCGCCAGGGAGCACCAGTTCCCGCAAGATTACAGGTACGCCTTGCTGACGAGTGCCAAGTAGCACGAAACCTGGGTCCAGGTTTTCCTGTTGACTACCTCCAACCACCATCTAAATCTCACTATACTGTTTTGACATATGCTTAGTTGTTTGAGGTGAACTCTTGACCAACCAACCTAAGCTGTTACAAGTCCAAATTCTTGCTGATAAATAATGGAACCACACTCATTTCCGTAATCTTGCAAGAAAAACCGAGCTGATGCCTATTTGTAAATAATTTGGTCATGGACACATCTCCCATTTTGTCCTCGGTCTGCGTACTTGTTCTCAAGGATTGTCTTCCGTTCCACTAGCGAGAAAAGCGTCTAACAAATTGAGATCCTCCTTGAGTTTTGAGGTGCTAAAATTAGTTCTTTGATGATAACGCCAAGCTATCTTCGTCTAAAACCGAGAGTTGGTTTTACTGTGGCTGTATCCACAGTGTAGTTAACCCTGAAGATGAAGGCAGCTTATATTGGGTTCCATGAAGATATGTTGAGGAGAATAATCTTCTATGACACAAGACGTTTATTTCTGATGGATGCTCAACATAACACATAGATAGGATTTAAACTTGAATCTACTGTCCATCTACAATAATTCTGTTCGTATTATACACCGAGATGCCTGCCGCAAGGCTTCAGTGACTTGTCGCTACTAGAAACAAGTCTCATTAAGTGGAAGTTTTTTCTGTCCCATTCACAACCGATGGAACCATTGTTTAAACGTATCATGACTCCCACGACCTAAGTTTCAGCGCTAGTTGTGGATTTCAGGGTATTTTATTGTTTTTTCCTCCTTTGTGAAGTGCTCTGTGTTTTTCCATTGCAATAAATCCGACATTTTATTTGATTCTCCTTTGTTGTGTCATGGAACACTGATGTCATTTCACATTCCTTAAATTTGTTGTGACTGCTGCATAGCTCCACAAGCAGCTCCGTATATATGGAATTATTTCGAGTAATTTCATGAAATATATATATTTTATTAGATAAGACCGACACTGTTCACTACAACGTGTCCATATTTCCGTTCGTTTACTTAGATGCGGACTATTTTTCGCCTAGGTCAAGGGTGCTCTTTTTGATACTAGATACGGAAGCCCGTTAAGCGAAAACTTCTATTCCGTCCACAACCATTTGGACTTCGAGGAAAAATCAGATGATTTTGTAAAAAAATCCATCTGAGGGAATGCAACAACACCTAAAATGCCCGTTGGCCTTTGGCTTCCATTCAAAATATTCCCGTTGTATGGGACAGAAAATTTACTCCGAATTGAGACGTTGGTAGGTTTGTATTTGTCAGGAAATGTGGACTAATACCCACATATAATTACAAGTGTTCTCGAAAACTACCGATACTGGTAGAAATTTTCAACTTGGCCATCACCCATATTCACATAATTAGCTGGCAGTGTACGTATCATATGTTTTCTTTAATCGCTAGGGTACATCTAATAATTTAATCTAAACAATACTATGTAATGCTATAGATCCTACAGGGAGTTTTACAATTTTACAGACTTTCGTGTTAGAACTTCTGCAAACCTGTCATTAATCCCGACAAAAATAAGTTTTTCATCAATAATGTTTGTTGTTGACAATCGCCCTGGTGTACTCCAAACGTATGAAAATGGTATCACATTTAAATTATTTGGTTGGATGTTATTACTTAGGATATTGTCGTTTATCGACTATGCTAAAATCCTTTGTAAAAGCATCGCGCCAAAACTTGGCGTTCAGCGTACTTTACTTGGGTTGTAAGTTATTATTTTGAGGGTTAGTCAGTCAGTCAGTCAGCTACAACGTATGACCAGGCACATATATGCATCGGTCCAAGTTGCCATCCCCCATTAACACAACAAGATGGACACCGGATTCATAAAAGTAGTTAATGCAGAGGTGGTAATATATAAAAGAAAGATTGCAATAAGGATATAGTACATGAAGAAGGAATTAGTTCGTATAAAGAAAGATATGAAGCGATTTCAATCTCTTAGTTTAAGGGAAGAAAGAGAGTGTATACACCGACGCCATTGTGATTGATTATGAGCCATTCCACTCACAGTCTCCAACCATTGGTCACGATAGTCACGCGGACCCCAACCAAGTAGTCTGCATCTACCAACATGGCTCAGACTAGAAGTTAGTGACTTCAAGCACTGATGCCACGTTTTGGTTTGGCCGCCCCTAACTTCCTTCCAACCATCTCGAATACCTGATAGCATTGCACTTCGTGGTAATCGGTGTTCAGGCACACGTAACACGTGGCCCAACCATCTCAGTCGATGAAGATTCATAACCTCATCAACTGATTTACCATCATTCCCTAATACCCTGCGTCTAACCTCACTATGTTTACAGCTTAATTAATGAGTGTAAGATAGTCGACGAAGGCAACCAATCCATTCATCTTCAAATCTTAACTAACAAAACCTTGATATTGAGCAACTCAAAGTTGTTACTCACCTTATTATACCATATTTTGCCCCAGAATATGGCGAATATATTGGTTATTAGCACATCACTCCACTATTACTTTTGGTAAGGACTGCTTGTAGATTGCAAATATCCGGTCGTTGATGACTTGTTTAGAATGACTAGCCCGTATATGAATCAATGTCAAAGGTTTTCCTAAATCCTCAAATGTTATTTGTTGGTTCTTAAATCCATTTTTTACATAAATGTCTTTCGATTCGCGTTAGTTTGTTCGCCTACTTTTGGAACTATTAAGCGATGGTCTCTTGTTTTCCACTGAACGTTTTCGTCTATATAAAAGATCTGCTTTTCTTAGTCTTTAAATTTAGGTTTTCTAAGCGGTACCCCAACGCTTTTTATCGAGGTTTCTTTCTACTGCACGGGTTGCTGATCCTATGCCCAACCCTCCTTTGCCTGGGCTTAAATCTGTCATTAACCCCAGGTCTACAGGCGGAATAAGACAATTTGAACCATTTAAACTCTGCTATGGGAGTTGGAGGGTTTCCACTAAGAAAAATTACACCTCATGGTAAAAGCCGGAATTCTCCGGAAGTCACGAAGCTTATGTCCCTTCTGACAACCAGAGCAACATTTAATGTAGGTACTTGGAATGTCCGGGCATCGTGGGAGATCGGGCGGACTATTCGAATAGCTACGGAGACGAGGAGATACAAATTGACGATGCTCGGATTAAATAAAATCCATTAGACCCAAGCTGGACAGAAAAGCATAGATTTGGGAAATGCTGTTGTACTCTGGTCATGAAGAAGAAAATGCTTCTCACACGAGCAGTTGTGCTGATTCTGTCGAAAGAAGCACGAACACTTATAGGTTGGGAATCTCATGAGTCCAGGGTAATCAAAATATCATCAAAACAAAGGGGATCACAGTGGATGTTACCCAGTTCTATGCACCTAACTGATGTGTGGTAGTGAAAATATGGGTAGGGTTAATCGTTGAACATGGACAAACAACCACAGCCCACAGTCTATTAAATATGTGATTTTCCTTTTATCATGGATTTCCACTCGAGAATCACCGTGTGATCGCTTGTCATTGTATTGAATAAGGTATTCTCTAGTTTTAATCTGGTTCTCTATTTTGAGTTGCGAATCCTGATTTTGGTATAACGTGATTATTAACGTATTATCGTAATATACGTATGGGAGGAAAAAATATTGTAAACCATCCGTTATACCACTAACAATGATAGCAAGGAAGACGATAAAAGCCAGTTTTATGAGAGGCTGCAGTCGGTCGTACAGAAGTACCCAGGAAAGGATCTGACCATCCTGATGGGAGATCTAACCTTCATAGCCGGAATAGATAATATCAAGTATGAAGATATCACGGGACGACATGGACTGGAAGGAAGGGACGAGAATGGCGAGAGATTTGCAAATCTATGTGCTTTCAAAAATTTTTTTATGGGTAGCACTATATTTCCCCACGAACGCATACACAAAGCTATATGGGTCTCACTGTGATACACTACGGAGAACCGGATAGATCATATTTGTATCACTTAAAAATCCAGAAGGTCAATGGAAGACGTGAGAACCAAGAGAGGAGAGGACATAGCTTTAGATCACCACCTGGTTGTGGCCAAGGTGAAATTGAAGCACTGGACAATCAGAGAAACACCATTAAAAAGGTTTAATACGGCTTTCTTTCGAGATATTAACAGACAAAGAATTCAAGATAGCTCTCAACAACATGTTACCAGCCTTACATGAACTCAAAAATGAAACTATTATGGCTAAAAAGTATTCTTTTTGTAGACGTATTGTCAGTTCGTGAATAAAACACTAAACGTAGATTTATTCCCTTACTCCTAACTTTCACATTTATTCGTTTCGAACCCAACAACCGTTTGGCATTCTACTTGTAGAATCGTTCGAGGCCGTACATATGCTTTCGTCCCACCGTATGCGTTATGTTTCTGGTCTCGGTCTTGCTGTTTGAGACGTGGCCATATGCTCTGTGATGTTGAAGCTCCATTCTACCATTTACAATGTCATCGCTAGTTTATTTTCCCTTTTGTGGTTCAGTTATGATTTTATTTGGAGTCTCTCGTACTACTTTGTTCTTATGGTATTTTAAACCTTATGTTCTACTGGGTTATCGATTTGATTGTTATCATAGTTGAGTTTTGCTAAACTTAACCACTGTTAAATAAAGTAACATTTAGTACACTTTTAATACTGTTCCCTCAATGTGTTGTGAGCAGCGCAAATTTAGGTCTGTGCTCACTTGTTACGCATGCTTAGCCATTACATACCTCAGTGTACTGGCGACGCCGAATTATATTAGAAGACTGTTATAGATGGCCAAACCGAAGTGTCACTAGTCTGTCTTATCATAGACTATTTTTTGAGCTATGTGATAAGGTTCATATATATATATATCATATACTCTAGTATTATATTTCGTTTTATATTAGTCTTTTTGATTCCTTACTCTTCTAATTTGGTTTGACTACTCGAACTTAGTCACACTTTTTGAATGACTGCTCAAGTACTCGATTGATAAACTTGTATAATATATTTTTCTTTTGAGATCACACGTTAAACTTCTTATTACAGGTCTAAACTAAAAATAAATATTTTTTCACTCCGTTCACTACAGTAGCAAGTCAGTTAGCGTATGATGCTACTTCCAAATGTATCGCGAGATTTGCAGATAGCAATTTTCAAAGCTTGTAAGTTGCTTATTTTCATTTCCATCTTCTAAAGACCCTAAAAATATAAAATCTCGTAATGATTGGTTTAGTTTTCTCAATCATATGGAAAGAAAAGTTAGATCATTGGATCGAGAGTCAACAGCGACTAACATACTTTTAAATTTATACAAAAGTGCTGTAGATGTAAGTTAATACATCAACAGTATATATACGTTTGTATGCTAGTCATTAGAGGTGGATTGGTCAGATGAAATTTATCTTACAATTTTTATCAGAACAGCAGTTTTAGCATCATATGAGTAAGTTATTTATTTTAGTTATAATTTAAACTTAGGAATTCGGACTGCGGTCCTGCATTTCTTAGCTTATGTTCTATAAATGGACGTCGAAATCCACAGTTGATTGCGGCCGTAGCTTATTATTATTCTAAACAAGGTAAGTATCTGATTATTATCAGCTCATTAAAATTTCCAGGAGATAAAAGTAGAGCTAAAAGTCTTTTAAACTCTACAAAAAAGTGTGTAGACATATGTGGGGTGGAATTGTTGTGTAGAGCCGAAAGTATGCTAGATACAGACGATGATTTCAAATCGTTATTAGGACCATTTTATTACAAACCAGACTTTTATTTCCAAGGTGAGATTTTTATGGTAGATAATAATTGATTATTTCAACTAGATATAAATTGTTCTCAGGCAAGTTCAAGTGAAATTTCTTCAGTTCTGGATTCTACTTGTCCAAATGAGTAAGTCTATGTTAACCACTTAAGGATTTCTGAACATTCCATATCAATCAGTAACAACGTAGAACTTCGTACGTACGTACATCAGTTCAAGTTGCCATTCCACATTAGCACAGAGATGCAGTTGTCGATTCGAATCCCATAGTGGTAGAGGTGGTGAGAGTATAAGCAGTAATCGAAAACATTAGGGTTTAAAGATGTTATTCAAGGAGTATAATCCAATGAAACAAATTTGGAAAGAGGAAACAAGGGATATGAAGAATTCAGGAGATTAGAATTTGGGAGAACACAAAGAGTGGATGCACCCGCGCCATTGTAAACGATTTTGAGCCATGTCATTCAGGGTTTCTAGCCATCGGTCCCTAACCATGTTGTCTACACCTACCAACATGGCTTAGTCCACTTGTCAGTGACTTCATGGATTTGTGCCACGTTTTGGTCTGGCCACCCCTAGCTTTCTTCCAATCTGCTCCTACACCATAAAACATTGCACGTCGGGGCAGTCGGTGGTTGGGCATACGTAACACGTGTCCCAGCCATCTCAACTGATGAAGTTTCACCACTTCATCAATCGATTTGCCATCCTTACCTAGTACCCGTTTCCTAACAACTGCATTACTTACTCGATGCTCCCAGGATATACGAGCAATGTTTCGAAGACACCTATGATCAAATACTAGTAACCTACGGATATCCTCTACTCTTACCGGCCATGTTTCACTACCATAAAGTAGGACGGAACGAACTGCTGCGCAGTAAACACGTTCCTTGGTTGATAGACGGATATCTCGCCTACGCCATAAATGACGCAAGTTGGTAAAAGCTAGTCGAGCCTTCTGTATCCGTGCTGAGATTTCGTCACACACCAGACCACAAAGGCTGATCAGACTTCCAAGATAAGTGAAGCTGTCAACACGTTCAACTACTTCACTCCCTATCATTAGTTGGGGTGTCGAAGCAACCCAATCCTGAAGCAACATTTTGCATTTTGAGGTGGAGAATCGCATCCCGAACATGTTTGCATTGTTGCTCATAGTAGTCAGAAGACTGCATTTTGTCAGCATCTTCACCAAATAGAACTATGTCATAGGCATATTCTAAGTCAGCAAGTGAATCTCCCGGTTAAAGTTCAACCCCTGGAAGTTTAGATGAGGAAAGTGTCATCTCCAAAAGCATGTCTACGATAAAGTTGAACATTCCATATTATCAAATGTGTGGTACTAAGCCCATCCTTCTAGTGAACACTATCGTAATATCAGTCCATCTATGCAACTTAGCTTTCTGTATCTTACGATTATTATTGTTATTATTATTATTATTATTATTATTATTATTATTATTATTATTTGAACACATAGATATTGGTACAAGGAGGCACCAAATACATACGAGCCAAACAAATCTCATTTAAATTGTGTGAAGGCTGTGATACTGCTCGGGTGCCCAAACGAAGCAGGTGGTTTTCTTAAGGGGCCACACCCGGAGCCTTCGACCTGAAGGTCTGATCCACAAGGCAGTGGAGTATCGTAAGGAGAAGCAGTCCTATGGTAGCCGGTGACCAACAATTGGTTCATACGCCACTTGTTCTTTCAGGATACTGGAACCAAGGTGCACCATTGGTTTGGAATCATGGTTTTCCAACTACCCTAGGTGGGCTTTCCATGTTCACCAACCCGGTTAAAGCGCCGGACATTCACTTTTCGTCCTCTCACTTTCGTAAACAACACCCTCATCACGAGAAGACAGTGAGTAGGACTTCCCTGGCAGAGGCTATATAAGCATGGCCATGTGAGAGCATTTCGAGAGGGAGAGCGGACTCTCCCCACTCTCGGCTGTACCAGGGCATTTAAGGGCTTTACGATCAGATAATTAGTAAAAGAGGTTCCCAAGAAGAAATCAGATTTCAGCCAAATTAGTACATAGCAAGTTGTTGTTGAACTATTAAGCATGGAAGTCGTTGGGTGAATTATATTCGTAAAGATCTCAGCATCGGAAGTTAAGTAGTCTCAATGTCTCGGTCGGAAATGTAGCCTGAGCTGCGTCACAAAAATAATCATAATCGATAAGTTAATAAAGGGCCTCGCATTTAATCACATCATTCGTGACTTGTATATGACCTACTACTAACCAACTTATTCGACTTCCGTCAACATAAGTTGTACCACATCAAGGTACTTATCTACTTTAGTATAGTTGCCCCGACCGTTTGTTGCTACCTTGACGTGGTGGTCGGGCTTGCCTATCGTGATGAACCAACCGAGCTATACTGGCTGGAACAACCGTTCCTCGAGGTCCTACCATGTCAGACAGGTCGGTTAAAGAGCGGTAAGACTAAAAGCAACAAACCCAACGTCCGAAGGCGAAGTCGTACTGCTGACTGTACAGAGGTGTGACAGCAGTAAGGTGTTTCCTTCAGACAACCAGCGTGACAGCGATGCTGCCTTCCCACAAGGAGGGGTGGGGTTAGAAAAGGTCGACCCTAAAAATGTACACCTCGCCTTATCCCACGGATATCCGTTTCCAGCGGTAAGGTCTCAGCAAGTACGGAGCTAACACAAAAATTACCCATAAAAAGGTCGTGTGTGACCGACCTCAAGCAGTTGTCACTTGGGCACTGCGGTCACGCTCTCAGGTCACCAAGACCACCTCTAATCCAATTTCCTTTCCAGGTACCTCCAGAAGAACTCTTCCACGGTGTGTGCGACCGGGAAGTGATAACCGCACTCATACCTCTAACAGCACTCAAGACCACTTTATTCATAATCAACGTCTTTTTTCAGTTCCTATTATTTTTCCTACGGCGACCTTCAGCACTAAAGTTCCTCTTTTGACTTCCTCCTCAAATATCATCATAGCCAACGATTCTAGTGCTCAAAACACTGTCCCAGGTCAACTGAAACCTCGCTCCAAACTACAAATTGGAGCCTTCAACGTAAGCACCCTTTGTCAAATCGGTCTGCAGGCCTCTTTGGTTGGGACTCTAGAATCTCGTACCATTGATGAATACTGCGTCTCCGAAACACGTATACTGGATCCTAGTGTGGTCTTTCACTTGACCCCACCTCGCCAAAACGAAGAGCCGACGAGATACACCCTCCGTGTATCTGGCGACCCGATGGTCAGTTCGTGTGGACTGGAAGGTGTAGACATAGAACCCAGCACGAGGGTGGAACAAGCACTATGAAAGTGGATCCCTGTTAACCGTCGTCTATGTGTTGTTCGATTAAACGGCTCCATAAGAACTCGGAAGGATAGGGAAACACGTCGTTGCCTTTTCGTCGTTTCTGCCTACGCTCCCACTGACTGCGACACGAACGGAGTGAAAGATGACTTTTACAGAAAGCTTCTTCAGAAAGCTAAACGCTCAGACATAGTACTCGTAGCAGGTGACTTTTATCCCCAGATGGGTAGCTTAAAACAAGCAGAAAGACATTTAGGTGGGTATTTTAGTATCCCACCTCAGCGAACAGATAATAGTGATCGTCTGCTGCATCTGTGCTCAGACAATCGTTTATTTTTAGCAAACAGTAATTTTAAGCATAAGGAGAGACATCGTCTAAGATGGCGACCCCCAGCACCAAACCAACGATGGACTCAAATAGACCATATTACCATCAGTCATCGTTGGAGAGGGTCGACAGAAGATTGTCGCTCATTCTTGAATACCCGGTTGGACTCCGATCATGCGCTAATACGGGTAAGCATCTGCTTGCGCCTCACTGGACGCAAAAAAGCCACACTAGAAAGACCCATTAGAACTGAATTGAGTAACGAGAATACCAAAAATAGGTCCCAGGAAGAACTGAGGTCACACTTAGGTAGTTCTGAAAACGAGGCTGACCCAGATGTTGCTTGGAAAGATTTACAAGCAGCTGTGAAAACAGCGGTGATATCTAATAGTGACTTAAACAAAAGGGTTACAAAGAACCATTGGATTCTTTCAAGGTCTGTTGCACTGGTGGATTCTCGTAAACTCGTCCCATCAGGCTCTGAACACGATGATGAAAGAAAGAAAATCAGATCTAGGTTAAGCAAAAGTCTAAGGAACGACCATGAGCAGTGGTGGGCAACGAAAGCGAAAGAGATGGAAAAGGCGGCGGCTATAGGGAACACAGGACAGCTCTACGAACTAATAAAAGAAACTGGAATTAATAAGTCAAGTGTAAGTCAGACTATTTCGGAAAAAGACGACACTCTCATCTGCTCTCAGTCCAGACGTTTAGAACGATGGGCGGAACATTTCAGAGAACAGTTCAGCTGGCCTTCAGCTACTCTACAACTACCCTCCATTCCCAGACAATGTGAATGGAACATTGAAGTAGGTCCCCCAACTCTAGCAGAAGTTCAAAAGGCTATAGTTAATCTGAAACGAGGAAGGGCTGCTGGTCCAGATGGATTGGCTCTAGAGGTCTTTAAGGATGGTGGTCCAATTTTAGCGATTAGGTTGACTAATATTTTAGCTAAGATCTGGGAGTTAGACGTTATCCCATCTGACTGGTCACAATCACTTATCGTCCCAATATATAAGAGAGGGTTAAAATCATCCTGTGATAACCATAGAGGGATTAGTTTAACTAATTTAGTATCTAAAATACTAGCCTCGATAATTCTCAGACGCCTAACTAAGACTCGTGAACTGCAAACACGAGAGAATCAAGCTGGCTTTAGACCTGGTCGTGGCTGTATCGACCACGTATTCACTATTCGTCAGGTTTTAGAACTCAGACATGCTTATTGGCGTCCGACAAGGATAGTTTTCCTTAATTTAAAAGCAGCACTTGACTCCGTGGACCGAGAGGTTCTGTGTTAGTGTGTCATTGAAAGGCGTACCTCAGAAGTACATAAACCTTGTGAAGGCTCTTTACTCGAACACTACCAGTCGAGTCAGAGCTTATGGCGAACTGTCATCTACTTTTGCAACCTCAAGTGGTGTCTGGCAAGGCTGTCCACTCTCTCCATTTTTGTTTAACTTCATCATAGACCTACTGATGGAAATGACATTCTCGTCGACTGAATTCTCGGGTATTGATCTCCTTCCAGGAGGTCCACTTATCGACTTAGAATACGCAGATGATATAGTCCTGTTTGGTGAAGACGTTGATAAAATGCAGTCTTTTGGTAGTACTGAGCAACAATGCCAGGATGTTTGGGATGTGTTTCTCCCCATCTAAATGCCAATTGTTGCTTCAGGACTGGTCTGCGTCAATACCTGAACTAAGGATAGGGAGTGAAGTAGTCGAACGCGTAGGCAACTTTACTTATCTTGGAAGTCTGATCAGCCCTAATGGGTTGGTGTCTGACGAAATCTCTACACGGATTCGAGAAGCTCGATTGACGTTTACCAACTTACGTCACCTATGGCGAAGGCGAGATATCTGTCTATCAATTAAGGGATGAGTGTACTGCTCGGTAGTTCGTTCTGTTCTACTTTACGGCTGCGAAACATCGCCATTAAGAGTAGAAGATACTCGTAAGTTACTGGTATTTGACCACAGATGTCTTAGAAATATTGCTGGCATCTGCTGGGATTACCGGGTAAGTAATAGTGAGGTTAGACGCAGGGTATTAGGGAATGATGGTAAATCAGTTGATGAGGTTATGAATCTTCATCGACTGAGATGGTTGGGCCACGTGTTACGTGTGCCTGAACACCGATTACCACGAAGTGCAATGCTATCAGGTATTCGAGATGGTTGGAAGGAAGTTAGGGGCGGCCAAACCAAAACGTGGCATCAGTGCTTGAAGTCACTAACTTCTAGTCTGAGCCATGTTGGTAGATGCAGACTACTTGGTTGGGGTCCGCGTGACTATCGTAACCAATGGTTGGAGACTGTGAGTGGAATGGCTCAGAATCGATCACAATGGCGTCGGTGTATACACTCTCTTTCTTCCCTTAAACTAAGAGATTGAAATCGCTTCATATCTTTCTTTATACGAACTAATTCCTTCTTCATGTACTATATCCTTATTGCAATCTTTCTTTTATATATTACCACCTCTGCATTAACTACTTTTATGAATCCGGTGTCCATCTTGTTGTGTTAATGGGGGATGGCAACTTGGACCGATGCATATATGTGCCTAGTCCTACGTTGTAGGTGACTGACTGTATAGTTGCTGCCTATTTTTCTAGAAATATTGAAGTTATATTATTTCATCTTAATAACTTGTGGTGTGTACAATAGTGGCTTATCTGTTTTAACATTCTTTATGAACTAATGATCTGTGTTTGAACTCATCCTCACCTATTTTCATTTAGTTTTTCAGGTAATACCTCTAGTTTAAATTTGTATACTGGTTTATTCACTTAGTTACTAAGCTGTATTAATTCGTGAAATCATGTATGAGTGATCAGAATTATATTTTTTTTTACCTGCCATTTAAAAGAACTTGACGTCATAAACCAGATCTGTGTGTCCAAAAAGAAACAGTAATAAGTCTTTCTTTGCCTCGGTAACATTACATCTTTTTTATTGCATTATTCATTATTTCAACTCTTTCAAGCTTTGATTACATCACTGCCATCTTTCTTTAGTTCGTAGTTTTCATTTGAACTGACTGATTTCAATCTTTATTACCATTAACATGTTTACAGTTACCTCACTACACAATCATCTATTGTTTGTTAACGCTATGAATCCTAATCACTACTTTGGTGTTCTGATACCTCCCTCTTCACTTTATTTATTTAAGCTTTTTTATGACCTTATCAACTCTATTGGAATTTTCGCTTCACTATCATACACATATTCATCTCTAATCACCTTTGTATTTATAAGTGTGTCAATATATATAATAATATAGGTTGTATGCAGCTGATGAGAACCTAACAAAATGAAATGAATTCTTATCATTCTGCACCAATCATTGTTTTTGGTCTTTTTAATGTTGTTTAAGCCTTATGTTTTTGGGTAACATGTTTCAGCATGATTAACTGTGACACTGCATTCACTCCCTATCTTCCATACTTACGTTTCCATTCTGTCTTTCCAAAGGATATTTCCAATGTTAAATCTTTCTAATTACCATTTCTACCACATCATTTTGATTCCTCTTAGTATTCATCTAGCCATAATAATATGGTATGCCTGGTTCCACGTTAATTATAATTGACTGATTGATTTAACCCTGTATATTAGAAATCACTATAGTTATTGCAAAGTTTCTGTTAGCCGAATACAACTTCCTATTATATATTTGCAATTTCTGATTCCTTTCAGTTGAGAATGTGTATAAGGTCATTTTACCAGAGTTGCTAGTTTATATCTCAATTATATCGAATCAGAAAATTAATAGATCAAGTTCACAAATTCTGAATCGGTGGTTAGACTTTAGACTGATTGGTTCGTACATGTGTACATTGGATGTTTTTCCGAATGGATACTTGAATACAGGATAATTCATATTTCATTTTAAGAATATCAATTGAGCAGCATCTAATGTATTTTTTTAGTTTTACAGATTCCTTTTAAGCCCGTGGAAATGTTTTGATCATTGAAATATTTTCCTTCGTAAATTTATTCTAGTCACACAGAAGAACGTTCTCAGTCTGTGATAGACATCAATTTTGAACCGGATGGAAATTCACCAAACTATCCTAGTAATTGCAATGCAGTTGAATCAATACAAATAATTGGTCCATCCAGGGTAAGTTATAAGATGTACATTATAGCAACTCACGTGCAATTGAGTCTGTTCTCATTTACTCAGTCAAGCTCTTTTGTTAACTTATTTAGCGGACAAAGTCATCCGTACTATAACAACTTATTGTACCTTTTATTATTTGTTGTGCTTGTATGAAATATGTATGCTTGAATATCGCTTACCGCCTACGCATATATTCACTCTGCTAGCTTTATTATTAGCTGCTCAATTGATTTGATGATCCATTCATTCCCCTATATATATATATACATGTACATTTACACTCTTACACCCTCGGTTCGCTGACTCATTCATTTGCCTCCCTGCTTTGTGGTCTGAGTTATTTGCTAATAAAACTAGTCGTTACTTCTCTTTGCCTTCTGACTTCAAACACCGTTGAACATTACGTGATAACGGTTACGAGGGTGATTGGTCAACGAAACACAGCCACTACAACCTGAAAAAATCATGGGAATTCGACCAAATGAATATAGATTTTGCTTTTTTAATGATTTTTATTTTCAATGTCGATTTTCAATAATTGAATGGATTGAATGATAACTTGAATAACAATGTTCTTGTATGTATATCTAATGGATCAGTTAAACTGTCACGTTCAGTAGTAATAAATATTTAGAAAAGTTGGATTACCACCAGCTGCGCCATGGCAATTAATAATCATATAAGCTTCATTAAAGGTCCTAAACCTTATTTCCCCTATATTTTAATTAAGGAAACAATAAATGATCTCCACTATATTTTACTTTGAAATATATCTTAAACTAATAGAAAGAAATTAGTAAAGGTATTATACGTGAAAATTATATTCTAAATAATTTCACTGATTGAAATTTAAATAATCCCAACGTTTCATCGAGCAAACTTGTTTAAACTTCTTCAGAGTGATATCAGCCTATTTTTATCAAACTGTTCGTTCTAATATCGACGAATATTCGTATAAGAAATTGGTAACTTTGAAAACAATTTCTTCTTATCAATTTTCGACATAGATGTTATTTCGTTAGGTCCTCCCAAAATCATGTCTATTCTGACTAATGTTTTGTTTTACCATGTCTTTGTGTGTGCGAATGATAAATCTGTGGTTCAACGAAACCTCATGAAACCAGATATCAACCTTTCATCAGTTTTTATAGAATTTTTTAATGTTTTGTTTCATATTCAGGGTCTGACACTAAAGCAAGGCGAACTTGTATGTTCATGATGAGTAACAAACATCTGGGACTTATTTTTCAGAAAACGTGTGAAAAGTGTTTCCCTTAATTTTTCAGGATTCATATAATTTTTCCCGGTCCCTCAAATTACCAGGGCTTCCAGAAGAATTGTCAGTTACTTCAGGTAAATTATTCTTTTATTCTTGTACTCCTTTACTTTTATGGTCATCAGGTCGGGCTTATAGTTCACATTCTATAAATCAAATAAACTTCACAGTGTAGGATTTGACGATACAGTTCAGTTTTTTGTAAGCAGGTTTTTTCAAAACCTTAGTGAAAATAAATCAAGATGGCACTAATCAATTGGTGTGTTTTATTCGTTATATAATAATCTCAGTTGATAGACCATTGAAAACTAAGGAGCAATTCATAACCATCTCATCCTAGTATAATACACCTGGACAGTGTACACCCACAGTCCCCCCAAAGATGGAACCTAGGTGCGTCAGGTCTTGCAGCAAATGCTTAACAAGTTAAACCAATCCCTTTAAAACCCAACCAAGGAATAGGTTAAATTAGCAATGGATAATGTAATATGTATGACAAACTGTTATGTCCGGACGAAGAATAACAGAATGGTAACTGCTAGGAATTGCTTATGAACTGTTATATATATTCTTATTGGATAGTTGTTAAGTCAATAGATCATATATGTGTTCATGCTTCTTTTGTCACAAGCCTTCATTTGACACATTGGCTACTATTATACGATTTAGTGTTTGTGATTTATTCCCAACCTATTAGTCAAAGTGTTCTATACTCACAATCATTTTTAGCTTGATTTTATATAATTGATATTTTTCATTTTATGGCATGATTTGGTCTGGTCTGCTTGTATATAAACCACGTATGTCTGTAATATACGATTCATACGGTGGGGGAGGTGGATATTGGACTCAATGGGCATGTCTAGGCGATAAGTTACTAATATCGAGGACCAATAAAGATTCCGAGTTGACTCAAGACTGCTAGTGCTTGTTGACGTGCCATTGGTCTGGCACAGGGACAAATTCATAGAAGTCGGTATTCTGAATAATTAACAGAGTCATAAGTCATAAAACAAACATCGTCTACTCTGTAGCGCCCAACTTTGAGAATTGATAAAGAAATCAATGACTAGAGAGACCTGGAATTAAGATTTATTACCAATGTTCCGAACGCATGCACTTTTTATTTATTTATGAAGAAATTAGACTTTACTGTTGTAGTTGTGCCATATGTTTTCGATGATATGTGTGCACCGAGGTTTCTAACATTATCCTCCACTGTATGTGTTATTTTGTTGAATTTTTCCGTTGAATTCACTCGTATGGTTATGTTTCTTATTTTAAACTAATAGCGCTGATCTTGAGTAACATATATATATATATATATATATATATATATATATATATATATATATCATTACATGATCCATCTTATCTACACTAAATTTTGGTTACTGTTTCAAATATATTAATTTCTGATCTTAATATAGTCATTTATCTCCTGAATGTCTCTGTTTATTTTCTTTTATTCATAACTTAATCTTTTCTCCTTTCCTTCTCTCTCTCTATACTATCTGTTTCAGTCACAAGTAACCCACATATGGAATCATTACAACAGCCTGAACTATCCACCATCGTTGGTTCGATCAAATTGAATGGAAGTTGCGAAAAGGTATTTCCGTTTAATTCGGTATGATTTTTCCTTATTTTCTGACTAGTATAATGCGGAGAAATGTGTGTAGGATGTATAAACTAATAGTATGTTTAACCGTGTATAATCTTAATTGTTACATACGTTTTGTGATTCGCTAGTTTTCTTGATGTAGGTGCAAGTTGGAAGAAAGCTAGGGGGTAGCCAAACCAAAATGTGGCATCAGTCTATGAAATCACTGACTAGTGAATTGAGATATGTTATTAGGCGGCAGCTACCAGGTTACATTGGCTTTACTCAGAATCAGTTGCAATGTCTCTGAGGCACTACTTTATATTCCCTCAGATAAAAAGTTTTAGAATTATTTTATATTTCTTATTCTATGAACTTATCCTCCCTGAACCACTTCGTCCTTGCCTACTGTTTTTTTCTACCACTGATTCTGTTACTACTTGTAGTTTTTGGTACTTGCCTTGATGATCTCATCTCGTCATGTTAATATGATGTGGCAACTTGAACGGATACGTATGTATGCCAAGTTCTACGTTGCTTATGGCTGACTGATTGGCTGTATTGCAATTTAGAAAAATATTATTTAACTTGGCAAATTGGAAATGTGTCAACTTAACACTTTACCTCATTCAAGCACCTTAATTAAACACTTAATCAGCTATTTAAAATTATGTATTTTCAAAATTCATGATCGTATAGTTTTATACAGCTTGAAAGTTTGACAAGCGTTGGTGTCCTCGTAGTTTTTCAATGGATTTTTACTGTTTTTTACGTACCCATTTTTTCAAGATACGTCGTTTTTCGTATACTATATGCTGTAATAGTAAGTTTCACTTCTCTTTCTTGCATGATCGACAGTTACCTTCCACATACATATTCGTATTAGATGTATCACAAACTATATCTTGGAAGTTTTTAGATTACAAAAAAATCTAGGAAATCTGTATCATCATATTTGTACGGGTTTGTATTTTGTTTATGTTGCGGGCTGAAATCCCTTAGTCTTTTCGGGTTATGTTCATGTTGAGTGGATTGCCTCGATATTGACATTTAGTCTCAACGCCTCAGTAAAGTTGAGTAGCGATCAACAGTGGAATTCATGACACACCTTTCGTTATACTCGAGACTCGTCAGCTGAGTGTATCTGTATTTCAGTATCGATTTTCACACTGAGATTTGAACACATTGCCTTTCGTTTCAATAAGTAATTAATTATCCACTGAACTACTGTGTCCATAGAGTCACTAATCAGCCTTACCAAAAATTATCGTCGCTTCATTACTCTTCATTGAAACCGATCTCTGTGAATATATTAAGTGATTTAGTCTAAGTACTGTTACTCAATAATCATTCAAGAAACTTGCCGTCATAGGCTCGATCTTTATTAAGGCCATCACTATACATTAATGTTGTTGTCCAATACTCTCTGGTCTTCAGTTCGTTTTATGGAGTACAAAAATTTCATTTGACCAAATATTTAGGCGATATCCTTAGAAGTTGTGTAACCGCAGCTTTGTGAGCACTTTTTTCTGCGTTTCTGCGATACATATAAGTAGATAGATCGATCGTAGTTACTTTATTCATTTGATGTTTTTTCCACTTAAACGTCTGGTAGCGACTCAACGCTTTTGTCTTTTAATCACCCCAATTTATTATTCAGGATAAGAAATTGATTTCTGTCGGTGTGCAAACTGAGCTGGTCAATGAAAGTGAACAATTTATTATTGTTAATGGTAAAAAGTATCAAGTAATTAATGAATTGGGACGGGGAGGTTCATCAGTGGTAAGTAGTTGATCCAACATTTACCTATCTTATTTATGTGTACTTTTCCTTCAAATAGCTTAACCACGGAGTTCATGATCGATAAATATTCTGTCATGGTCTGTTGATAGATCTAACACATCATCTAGATCAAAGCTTACGTAGAAATCAGGTGAGAAGACTTATATTCTGTTTAAGTGACATTGAAGTCCAACTTGTCAAAGATCACGCCACGTTCATCTATTCATGATTATAGTGTGTTTGCATGAACGGAGACATAAAATATACATTTCTTTTATACTATTGGTATTGTAGGAAGCAATTTCCTACAGGTTTAATTCTGAGCTATTCCCTAGGCCAAAGCCAGAACAAGCAAGCTATTTGGCTAGATAAACTTTATCTGTTTCTAAAATATAAATTAACATCGTTAGTGTACAAGCAAACAGTACGGTCTATTAATACAGGGAAAAACAGAGACAAATAACATACCGAACAGTAGCCAAAGAATAGGGAAAATGAGTCACAAAGCAAATATTGTTTTACAATGAACATCAAACTGCGATTGGTTAATAAAGAGATACAGTCGCACAAGGTCAAAGGGAGTTAATGTGGTGGTGGGCGTTTCACTTTATTATTGGTGGGTTCGTCCATCGATCACATTTTACACTCTACCCGAAACGCGCACCACGTCCGTTGTCCAGGGTCGTCGTCGCCGTCAGACAGCCGGCTCCTTCTAGTAGACATAAGCTTCGTACGTCCAGAACAGTTTCTTCGTTTGCGGTTCTCAATTTTGCCGTACGAACTTGTCCGTCAGAGCCATAGCTTACTTGTTCGACGATAGCTTGGGGCCATAAACTTCTCAGTGAGCCAACATTGTTTACTAACACTAAGTCTCCAGAAGACTCATCCATCAATATCTTCTGAAACAATAATGATCGCAGAATTCTTCTTATCGACTTAATGATGCGTCCTCATACACTGCCTCGTTGACTAGCCCTTGGAAGTTTAAAGCGCCATCCACAACCTCTCTAAAAGGGCATTTACTGTCTTATTCTGGTTCCAACTACACATGATCTGTCTAAGAATAGCATTGGCTCCTATAGAACTACCAGATGCACCCTTACTCTTGTTCACAACTCATACAAGGGCGCCTTTCTCAACACCATCCTCGATACCACTGCGAATATGTGCTACCTGCTTCTTCAGGGTCTTAGTTACTGGCTTCTTTGTTACAGTGGCCTTCGGCCTTTCCGTAGTCTTGACTTTCAGTTTGGTGTCCTTTTCCTTAAGCTTTCTTAGAGTTGATTTGGGTTTATTAGCAGATGATGCTTCAGTTTTTGGCTTAACAACCTTGTACTTGGTTAATAAAAACGAACAATGAACTTGACGAGAGATTTTCGGAACGAGTATACTCCGCGACACCATATGCAGATTCTGATAATGCTATACGATCTTCCACAGACATCGATGAAGTACGACTAAGTGGGTCTTTGAATTCAGTAATTCCTCTTTAGCTGAGAGGTGGTTGAGTGCACGATTGCTTTCACAGGGTTCCCCATAGGAACCAAACAGCGTCCAACCTAACAGAGTCTTCACGGCAAATGGTTCATTCGGCTTTCCAGTTCTTATCTCTTTCATTTCGTGTACACTCGGTACGTTGCACCCGGTCAACGGTTTGACATTCTCATCCTCTACTCTCGGGAAACTTATGTCTTTTAAATGCGTCCAGGATGTCATTTGAGATGTCGTTGGTACCGTCCTGCGCAACATAAGTAATCTCCCGACTGGTGGAGTTTTGTTCTCTGAGCTGGATGGTTTGGTCGTGGAGCTTTCATCGTTCTTCTGAACGACATCATCAACACAAACTTCAGATAGGAGTAAAGTGTTCGAATTTATCCATATGTGTTTCACAGCTTGTTCTGCGCACCTCGATGTTGATTGGTCCTTATTGACCTTAAATTTGTCATTGTTTACTTCTTTGTTTTGGTTGTGTCTCCCATTGGTTTGATTTTTGTTCCTATATTTGTGCATGATTTTCCTAATTGGTTGACAAATTGGATTGACTTCAATATGTTTGTTGATTGCTGATTGACCTGAGTGCCAGGCTTCTGAAAATTCTCTGGTGTTTTTGGAGTTTCCTCTGTCTAAGATTTCCACATCTTTCCAATCGAATGAGTGTCCGTAGTTGTCCACGTGTATTGATATAAGTGAAGAGATATCACGGCGTTTGACTGCTAATTGATGTTCATGTAGGCGAAGGTGAAGGGGACGTCCGGTTTGTCCAATGTAGTGTTTTTCACAGTTGGTACAATTTATTTTGTAGATGATGTTTGATTAGTTTTCCTTGTTATTTCATCTTTTGGTTTGCATAGAATTGGTTGTAGTGATTTTGTCGGTTTGTGTGCCACACCTATTCCGAAGGTTTTCAGCAGTCTCATTGCGGTTTCTGATATTCCTTGTATATATGGTAGGGTGATCCTTCTGTTGATTTTTGTGCTTGACTTGAGTTCTAATGCTGCGTGCGGTTGTTATTTTTTGATGAAGTTTATTGGGTAGCCGTTCTTCTGAAATACATCCTTCAGGTATTTCTCTTCATTTCTTCGTGCTGCCAGTGTGCTTCAGTATGTCCTCGCCCTCTTGAACAAATTGTGTACGCAGTTGATTTTGTGAGCTCTTGGGTTGTTGCTATTGTAGTTGAGAATTTGATCTGTATGGGTCGGTTTCCTATATACTTGAGTTTCCAGTTTTCCTGTGTCGGTTCTAGTGATCATTATATCCAAGAATGCTAGTTTGTTGTTTGACTCCTGTTCCATTGTGAACTTGATGTCATTGAAAACGTTGTTGATCAGTTTGTATGTGTTTTCCAGTTCATCCTTTTTGACGATGACGAAGGTGTCGTCTACGTAGCGAATCCAAATTTTTGGCTTGATCACTGGTAATATAGTGGCTTCTAGTCTTTGCATAACTGCCTCTGCGATCAGTTCTGATATTGGTGATCCCATTGACGTCCCTTTCGTTTGTTCGTAGATTTTGTTGTTGAATTGAAAATATGTTTTCAGGCATAAATCGATGAGTTCCAGTAGACTTTGAATTTGAAGCTTCGTGTATTTATTGAGATTTGTGTCGTTGTTGAGCAGCAGGGATATAGTTTCTTTAGCTAACTGTGGTTCAATTGAGGTGAACAGTGCTGTAACGTCGAAGGATATCATGAGTTCGTCGTTGGGGATTTGATGGAGTGGTTGGCTGAATCTACTAGATGTCTCAGTATTCGTGAAATTTCTTTTGACAAATTGTACTTTGGTGTTCCGGGGAGTGCTACAATTGGACGTAATGGAATGTTTGGTTTATGTATTTTGGGTCTGCCGTAGAATCGTGGGAATACTGGTCCACTGGATTTCATTCTCCATTGGTCTTGTTTTGTTAATTCTCCTGCTTTGACTAGCTTGTTTAAAGTCTTTGATATTTGGTTGTCTAATTTTTTGACCATCTCAATTTCTCGACTGTCCATACGTTTGGGATTCTAAATGATGAAGACGAACCTAAGGAGGAAACCTCTAGTTGAACCTCTTTACACTGAAATGTGGACTGGTTATCCAACGTTTTCAATAAAATCGTCTTGGACTCTCCTTCTAAATCCAACCTTCTAGTTAGGTCTTCTGTAATAAGCGAAGCATCCGACGCACTATCTAGGAAGGCGCAAGTCTGTACTACCTTTTCTCCATTTCTTACCAGTACAGGCACTTTTGAGAATGCTGCTTGTTTCTGTACACGCTCAACACTTTTCTCCGTACATAGCTGAGTGTTGATGTAGGCATCAATATTAGTATTCTTTTGCTCTTCCCGCAACTCGTGTAACAGGGTATGGTGTCTCCAACCACACCTTTCGGCAGCACACGACCTCGGCGGTCGACAGTTTTTTGCTACGTGGTTTGCCTTCAGACATACATTACACAACTTGTGTCTAAGAACGAATTCCTTCCTTTCTCTAACATTCTTGTCTTTAAATTTCTGACATTGATCTAAAGAATGATTACTGAAGCACTCCAAACAAGATGAACTGCGTGAGGGAGCATTATCATCATTACTACCGCGGTTGACAAATAAGCCGTACCTAGTATTAGCTATATCAGCTTGCTCCTTTACAAACTCAACAAGATCGGTAAACAGAGGCTCTCGGCCTCCTCTGATAATCTTATAAGCTACCTTTAGTCACTCTTGTTGAATGTGCGTTGGTAATTTCAGAACCATAGTTTCAATAGTTCTAGAAGAGTTCAAGCCAGAAACGTAATTCATCTGTTCGAGAGTCAAACTACATGCTTGCATTTCTCGAGATAGACTTCGCAAACCATCTGGTTGATTTCTCCTTATATTGGGAAAGTTTAACAAGTTGTCGATAAACGTGCGTGCTACAACGTGTTTTCGGCCAAACGTTTCCTCTAAAAGCTTTAGGGCTTGATGATAACCTATCTCTGGTTCTAGTATAGTATAGCGGCTTTCGCTTCTCCGTTACAGTATTGAATCAAGTAATTTAGCTTAGCTCTAAATCCAATATTCTCACTCCCAATGCATTCTTCGAAATTTCTAATGAAATTCCAATAATTTGTCGGTGTACCATCAAACCTTATGACTTCTCTTTTCGGTAAATACGGATTTTTTAATATTGTATTCTCACTGTTGCTTACTGATTGCTCGGAACCTTCACATCTCTGGCAGCGTAACTTTTCTAGTTCAATTTCTTTTTCTAACTGGGTTATGCGCAACCGAGCTAACTCTAATTCTGTCATGCTATTGTTCTTGAGTTCGTTCTTTTCAAGTTGGTCCTCGTCATAAACTCCCGAATGATGGGGTGATAACTCTGGAATCTCATCGGAATCGTAGTATTTATTGGAGGTCATTTCAGTAGGTATATCGAATTTACTGTTCGAAACTTTGTAGGAAGCAATTTCCTACAGGTTTAATTCTGAGCTATTCTCTAGACCATCGAATACAGAGTCTTGGTTTGGCCAAAGCCAGAACAAGCAAGCTATTTGGCTAGATGAACTTTATCTGTTTCTAAAATATAAATTAACATCGTTAGTGTACAAGCAAACAGTACGGTCTATTAATACAGGGAAAAACAGAGACAAATAACATACCGAACAGTAGCCAAAGAATAGGGAAAATGAGTCACAAAGCAAATATTGTTTTACAATGAACATCAAACTGCGATTGGTTAATAAAGAGATACAGTCGCACAAGGTCAAAGGGAGTTAATGTGGTGGCGGGCGTTTCGTCTATCGATCACATTTTACAGGTATCCTACTTTTTATTTCCTTATCATCAACGAGAGTAGTCAAGTTAAAACATGTCAGGAGTTAGTAAGAATCTATATTTTTTAGCATCAACTAACTATACACTGAAGTTAATCAAAGGGGGCGCACCTTTTAAGTTTTGTTTTACATTGAAATATTACTCCGCTTCTGTTACTAAATATTATATATTATTATTGCTTAATCAATATAATATTGTGGTGTACACTACTTATGTCGGCAGATATAAGTAGTATACAGCACCAGTCGGAAGTGGGGTGTCTGCAAGCAGATGATTGAAATGGAAAAAATACGGAATAAAACTCAAAGCAATCAAAACAACAGCAGGAATGGAGGTACTATAAAGTTTGTAAGAGACAACTGATGGAGGGTTTGCAAATGATGTATATAATGTGTTGTTTTTATATTTCACGAAGATACTGTAATCTTGTACTTAACAATAAATTGGTTATCTCCGACCAAGTCTTCGTTTGCTACAATATGTGCAAGGATATGAGAAACACAGAATTCGTCAGTATTATAAATTTGCCAAAAAATAAATATCATCTCTGCTTCATTCACTCCTAGGTGTATTGGGCTATGGACTCCGATTTAAATCCATGGGCGGTGAAAAAAGTTGATTTGAAAAATCTTACACAAGAAACAGTTACATCGTATATAAATGAGATTGAGATGCTTAAAAGTTTGATAAATTCCGACAGAATTATCCGACTATATGATTAGTAAGTTATAAATCACTTTTTTACGTCTTAAAAGTAGAACGAAATATTTTAATCAAAAATTTGAATTCATTAAATTCTTATTTGTAAGATGCATCTTATGTGAAGTAATATAGATCCCTGCTTGTCTATCTCATGGCGTTCCTTTCATTGGGCCTGTGGCTTATTTATTGGTTAATGTGTTCGACTTTTAGCTATTAAGTCTTAGGCTCCTACAATTAATTTTGTTTACGGTTAACTTTGTCAAGACCTTTAATTATCTTATTTAACAGATAGTGTTATTCGAACAGTCTATATTTGTACTATTATGATCACCATCATGTCTGTATAAACGTGTGTGCTTGATCACATGCGACAGCCTACGCACATATCTCTCTCTAGCTTAAATATCGCTCAATGAATCATTCTCTTTCCCATGTATATGTGTGCTTGGTTCGTTTCGCGTCTACTCGATTTGACTCTGAATCCGCGTCTGTATTCGCCTGCTCGCGCGCATTCGCCTGTCTGCTCCAATTCGCTCAGTGTGTTTGTAACTTTGTTGTCTGTAATATTTAATAATAAACTTTAGCCGCCACTACGTATTGCCTTCTGAATTCATACAGCGTTTGGATTTATTTAATAACGGTGATTGATAAACGAAACCCTAGAAAATTTGCACTCCGGTTTGGGCAGCTGGAATATATCACTAGCTCTCACAATTGGAGTACACCTTAAACCCAAATATCTGGTGATCGAATTTATTTTAGTTTACTACTCATTGACTTGGGAAATTCAAATATTTAATCCATCTTAAGCTTTAGGACCTAAGTGGTGGTCCCTTACTTACTTACTTACTTATGCCTGTTTCTCCCAATGGAGCATAGGCCGCCGACCAGCATTCTCCAACCCACTCTGTCCTGGGCCTTCTTTTCTAGTTCCATCCAATTCTTGTTCATTTTTCTCATGTCTATCTCCATTTCTCGGCGTAATGTGTTCTTTGGTCTTCCTCTTTTCCTTTGGCCTTCAGGATTCCATGTGAGGGCTTGTCTTGCGACGCAGTTGGGTGCTTTCCTCAATGTGTGTCCTATCCACATCCAGCGCTTCTTCCTGATTTCTTCTTCCCCTGGGATCTGGTTTGTTCTCTCCCACAGTACGTTGTTGTCAATAGTGTCCGGCCAACGGATTTGAAGTATTTAGCGTAGACAACTGTTAATAAACACCTGTATTTTCTGGATGATGGCTTTCGTAGTTCTCCAGGTTTCTGTCCCATACAGTAGAACTGTCTTGACATTTGTATTGAAAATCTTGACCTTGGTGTTGGTTGATAGTTGCTTTGAGTTCCAGAAGTTCCTCAGTTGTAAATATTGGTGGTCCCTTGCTTACACCTTACTATTAATTTTCGAATATTAATCGTAAGAGCTATTTGTTCCCTTTTAAAATTAATCTGCCCGTTTTGTACTTCATTTAAGGAATCCAGTCTTTGTTAGATTTTGTTTTCTAACTCCCCTTCACTATATACTATTGGATAAGAGCGAATCTGCTCAAAGCTATGCGAACTCTCAAGTTAGATTCTCTGTGTTTTCTCATCTTTTTAACATAAGCTGATCGTACATTTATTGTCTTGATATTTAACATTTTTACAATTTCTTTTTCAAAAATGTTTAGTCACTGTACATCAGAAAATCTCATACTTGTTATGGAGAAAGGAGATTGCGATTTGAAAAGTGTAATTCTTAGCTTTTGGTCTGGTGGTGCAAAAAAATCGCCTCGTTCACCATCAGGTATGCTTTCATCTGGGATTGTATTCTACTGGGATCAAATGTTGCGGTGTGTGAAAGCACTTCATGATCGTCGTAAGTTTATTTTTATTGTTAATATCTTGTTGCAATGTAGTTTTTCGGCAGAACGTGTAATGAGGAGAAAATATACCGGATTAAAATTATCGTGGATATTCATAACAATATCTAACTAGATCTAGACAAAATATCGAGAAGAGTCTAATCCGAACAAATTTATTGTTGATTGACTTTAGTTCACTAATGTCTAAAGATATAACAAATGTAAACGAATTAAAGGGTATCTGAAAATAAAATAAAAAACAACCATTTGTTATATGTTTATTAAAAATACAAGCTAATTCACTAAGTAGTAGCTAACCAAGTTTAAAACTTTTCTCTTACTCTCCGTTTACAACTAATAATTTCATAGATTCGCTTCTGGGGATCTGTAATTTTCCATACGTGTTAATACCTAAATGTACAATTTTACTATTTAACTAACTTCGAAAATTCGTAGTTTTATATTGTGATATCCTTTGATTATCATTCACTGTTACACAAATTCAATGTTAATAAGTTCTTTGGCATGACCAATTCATTGCTTAGTTGCATTTTTATTTTATGAAATTTTGGATAATTTTATGTAAATCCAATATAATGATTACTTCTGTTAAGTGTTTTTTATCTTGATTATTTTTTTCGCTACTCATTCTAGGTATTGTTCACTTAGATTTAAAACCACAAAATTTTGTTCTAGTCTATGGACAGTTGAAGCTTATTGATCTAGGGATTAGTCGTCTGTTACCAGATGATTCAACAACTGTAAACCATTGGCTAAAGTTGGGAACATTGTCTTTCATGAGTCCAGAACAGTTGGAAGAAGCTGCTGCTATTCCCTCATCCTCATCTAGCCTAAATCAGTCGTTTTTCTTGGGTCCTGAAGTTGACCAAGAAAATCGTTTTAAGGTTGTTTTTTGTTGTTTCCAAATAATGCATTTATTTCATGGAGATATTTCTATCCTCAGAGTTTACTTTTCTGATATAGATTGCATTCGTATTCTCTTTTTCACAATTTTAATTTTATAATGAAACCTTTCAAGTTAATATAGAATATTGGAAATTTTACTGCTGAGCTGTTGATCAGCGAAGAATACAAAAATACGTGGCTCTTAGCCACATTATTGTGCTACTCGGTTAGTTATAAACAACATAGAATCTGATGCATATGCGCATTGCTCCATATTACCATCTCATCAACACAGTAAAGTTAAATGATCAAAATAAGTACCAGTGTAGTAGTTTTTAAAGGGTTTATACAAAAAGAATAAACGGATGATTTGATTTGCGAAGAAAGGATAAATTTATGGAATAAAACATGTGAGATAAATTTTGACCACATGATTTGAAGATATACCAAAAGTTAATAGATCTGGGCCACTTTAAATGATCACCCACAGCTATGGGAGCTAGTGGTACTACCCGTTTGTCCAGACCCAAGTAGATGAGGTAGGGCTAGTTATAGAACCTAGCGAACTACTACTTATTGAACGCCAAGTGTTTTAAGTACCAGGCTGTCACCATTCAATTCATTTTTTAGTCGTATCAAAGTATTATATTATCACCATAAAAACAAATTTTTCGTTGGTTATAACATTATGGAACTGAATGATAAACCAAAAGATCTCAGTATTTCTGAAACGCAGGACATATTATATTTCATATTGTATTAGTGTAAACAAATGGTAGCAGTAAATTATACACCACAATCGAAATATTTTCAATAATTACCCTGCCGTTATGTCCATCTAAGCTCATAAAACTCTATCCACAGGACAGCGTACTTACTTACTCCTGTTACTCCTTATGGAAAAGCGTAAGCTGCTCATCAGGATTCTCCATCCAATTCTTTCCTGGGTAGTCCTTTCCAGTTGCTATTGATCCTTTTCATGTTTGCTTCCTGTTCCAGACGTAGTGTGTTCTTTGGTCTTTTTCGTTTCCCTTCAGGATTCCAAGTTAACGCATATATTGTTGTGCAGTTTGATGATTTCCTCAACATGTGTCCTATCCACTTCCAACGTCTTTACTTAATATCCTCTTCTGCCGGAAGTTGATTTGTTCTCTCTCACAGTAGGTTGTTGCTGATGGTATCCGACCAACGAACATTGAGTATCTTGCGTAGACAACTGTTTATAAATACTTGTACCTTTTTGATAATGGTTGTGGTAGTTCTCCACGTTTTAGCTCCGTTCAGTAGAACTATCTTGACGTTTGTATTGAAGATTCTAACTTTGATGTTGGCTGACAATTGTTTTGAGTTCCATATGTTCTTCAATTGACGGAATGCGGATTTCAAACACTGTTGGGATTGGTATAATAACGGTTATCAAGGTGATTGATTAACAAAGCCAAGCCACTACATTGTGTCCGTAAATTTAAAGCACACCCGTTCAGTGTTCGATACGTGTGCTATTTTAAGTATTTTCCGTTCATTTAGCGTGTGATTGGTGAATGTAAGAGCATAATTTCCACACACGATCTCATTTCAAGTTTTACCTTTCACTTTATTTGCTATTTTTCATCCGGTAAGTCGGAATACGTTACAGTAGCGCGTTCACAAAAGATATACGTAGATAGCTTTTATGTTTGAAATGAAATCCCTAGTAAAGAGCATGGCTATATACATACACTAAGCGTACGAAAAAATGATTGGAAATTCTAGATATTGCATAACTGATCGTATTCACTCCACTTCGCATACGCTAGCGATTACTTCAGATGATTTCTTGAGTTTTTGATATGATGAGAAGGAAGTCAACTCATCGAAGTGGAATTGATGTTTGAAGTTGATAATTTCTAGTCATCTATGATATGTAATTGCAGCTTAAAAGAAATAATTATGTAACTCAATAAATCTTAAATATATTTGTTGGTTATAGACGTTCATTTGTGTAGTTTTCATTACCAATGTTCGACGTGATTATTTCAAGAAAAATTGAACATGAAATAGATTATAAATAATAAAAAATAGTTGGATTTTACAAATAAATTATAGTTGATTCACGAGTCGATCTAAGCTAGATTACCACTGAAAACCTGGAAGCACTGGATAGCCTAGTATAATACTCCTCAGTAGTGCACACCCACGATCCTGTACATAGGTATCAAATTCAGGATTTTCGGACACGCGCGCGAACGCCTGAACTCTAGACTACCGATCCGGCATCCAACGGATATCTAACTTCAATCGATCCATGATTTTGTGCAACCCTTCATCCGTTGTCTGAGATGAATAACTGTCCCACACCGTTCACTGATTAAACTCCACTATCAATGGCTTCTCACTAGAACTTCGTGTCACAAATCTTTGTGAACAGTTTCATATTATAAATAGAAGTGATTTCTCGTGTTTTTAAATATTCAATAAAAGTTTGTTTGTTTTGTTACTACGAAAGGTTGGTCGTAAATCGGATATTTGGTCATTAGGTGTAATCCTTTATATGATGGTCTACGGTCAGTTACCTTTTAATCAAGATAAACTTCACTCTCGTCTATCAGCCATTATAAGTCCCAGTGTAAAAATATCTTTGCCAGCTATCAAGAATAAATCTATTTATAAGGTAAGCAAATGTGACAGTTGTTGTATTTCGTTCTGTTATCTGGTTGAAGAAAAAACAGTATAATTAACAGGTGTCTTTGGTCTATTCTGTGTATAAGATTCTTTCGAATATAAATAAAACCCTGTTTAAATAATCATTATCTAAAGTCGTTAGATAATAATTCTTTTAGTAATGGTTTGATTACTACTACGACTGGAAAAAAGACGTCTATGTTTCCGAACTGTCTATTTTTATCTTATCATTAATTGTAATGTAACTTGTTCATTTTAATGCTTGTAGTACCCACTTTTCTTGGATCACTATAATACAATTACGAGAGATATTTCTTCAGGTTATATATATATATATATATATATATATATATAATTTGACCTGGGAAACATAATGCACCAACAAGTAGTTACACTGAAACTTGGCAAATAGAATCCTAACAGTACTAAGAACTAGGACAAGTATGGTATTGTTCGCTGTTCAGTGATTAGTCAACGTAACTACAAATACTCTTGGACAGGCGAAATAATTATAGACAAATATTGACTCTAATCTCAAAAAATATATATTGTTACAAGGAGGCACCAAACAGATATGCGCCACTAATGATTCAGTTTGCGTAAGGGCTGTGATATTGCCCGGGTGCACAAACCGAAGCAGGTGGTTTTCTTAGGGAGTCGAGCCCGGAGCCTTCAACCTATAGGTCTAATCCAAAAAGCAGTGGAACAACAACAGGAGATGCAGTCCCATGGTAGCCGGTGACCAACAATTGGTTCATACGCCATTTGTTCCTTCAGGATCCTGCAGCCCATGTACACCATTGGTTTGGATTCAGGGTTTACCAACTCCCCTAAGTGGACTCTCCATATCCACCAACCTGGTTAAAGCGCCGGACATTCACTTTTCGTCCTCACTTTCGTAAACAACACCCGCCACGAGGAGGCAGTGAGTAGGACTTCCCTGGCAGTGGCTGTATGCACGTGGCCATGTGAGAGCATTTGGAGAGAGAGCTGACTCTCCCTGCTCTCGGCCATATATATATATATATATATATATATATATATATATATATATATTCAGCTTATGTATTAATTGTTCGATGTATCAGTCTACGTTCAGTATGAACATAGAAAAATGCGGACGATTCAACATGACTATGAATTCCAATAACTAATAATGATCGTAGTTAAATTTGAATTCATCAGTCAACTGTGAGGGAAGGAAATTGTAAAATCAGATAATAATCACTGATTAGTATTGTTTTCAGTTTAGATTGTGTATTGCATATGACAGCAGTGTTGGCGGTTAGATTTGATTAGAGATTTATACTATAGATAATAAAACTGGTGTAACTATTGTATAAACTCCTTATCAAAATCAATCTTGTTTATGTAACATCCTAGTACTTTGTTTATCAGGCAACACATATATATTGCGAATTTTCAAATTCATCTTTTCTAACACTTAATTTAACCATACAATGAATGTTCACTTTGATATATGCCGTCGTATGTATCGATTGTCATAAACACCAACGATTAAGTGTATAAATGGCAACTTGATTAATGGTACTTACATAGTTTTATTGATGAACAATTAATCAAGTTTCAATATTCTGTGAATATCAGGTATTAGGGAATGATGGTAAATCAGTTGATGGGGTTGTGAATCTTCATCGACTGAGATGGTTGGGCCACCTGTTGCGTCGTATGCCTGAACACCGATTACCACGACACGCTATGCTAACCAGTGTTGGGGATGATTGGAAGAAAGTTAGGGGCGGCCAAACCAAAACGTGGCATCAGTGCTTGAAGTCACCAACTTCTAGTCTTAGCCATATTGGTAGATACAGACTACTTTGTTGGGGTCCGCGTGACTATCGTAACCAATGGTTGGAGGACCATTGAAAAGCACGGGGAGCATCGGGTGAGCGTATCGTTCTAGTTCTAAATAATGCGCATTCACACGTTATCGAACTAATAGCTTGCAAGCTGCTCGGCAAGCACCTTATACCTTTTATTTCACGGTTTTCTATTTCATTGGCTATTCCGCTGACCGTGATTCATGGTGAATATTGCATTTAAACAGGTACTACTCTTTTTTATTGTTATTACATCCATAATATTCTTTTACCGTTTATTTTCTAATTCGTTGTAGGCATTAGAACGGAGTTTAGTTCGAAATCATTTAGAAAGAGCATCTGTTGATGAATTACTGAGTTATGAATATGTGTCTAGTACATCAGCTGCTGACTTATGGTAGTGTTATATTTTACTTTTAATTTCTTAATTCTATATATATATATATATATATATATATATATATATATATATACAGAAAATATTTGACAAGAGCACCCCAGTTTATATTCATGATTAGGTTTTGATACCAAAAAAGTCCTATGAAAATAGTGAATAATAGCTTGATATTATTTCACATTTATATAATTTTGTTGTAACGTTAACTTATCAGTGTCATATATATTCCTTGTTTTTTTCTTTCAAAATTTTTCTAGATGTCTAAAAAAACAGTCCGTTATTCTTCAATACCGGGACATATTTTTTTGTATATATATGTACATATTTCTTACTTGTATTATTTTTTTACATTTATAGTTTTGCAACCTATTTATATCATTTAGTAATTTATTTTCCCTTCCTTTGTTCATTCTTTTTGTTTGTCACAATTACTTCCCTGTGTTTACATTGTTGTTTATTTTCTCCATCCAGTTATTTATTTCAGAGAATCTGAAGACTCAATCACAATCAATATATTGTAGTGTATAAGTTTATAGTAATACTTATCATCATACGATTGATTGAATATTTATATCATGAATTGTTTTCTTTTTTATGACGAATAATAAATTATGTTTCACAAACATTTATAACATTTTCTTAGTATGACTTTGTTATACATTGAGTTAGTGATTGTTTAGAAGTTTCAGGTTCCCAATCCAATCACCTAACTAGGTCACACTTCCTACTCGATAGACTTGAATCCCTGTATTTTGGTTTCGTTCACAGTGTAAAATAATCATGCATAGGATGATTAGATGTGAAACGACGAAGCAGCTAGGTCTGACTTTTATGGACTTTTGAGAATGCCCTCAGTAATGATTTAAGTGTATTATCATAAATGAGGGGTAAACTTTGAAGTAAATAAGGTTGGTTTACCCCAATGTACTAAAAAATATTTCTCTGATCTCCCTCGAGGTATGTATTGGACGGACTAATTGTTTTAGTGGTACGGGAAGATATGTGTAGTTTGGAATTGGTGTTCTATATCATATAATGTCTGTACTTGCCATCGATTTTCGTGAAAACTATCTTCGAAAATAGCTGACTCACTGGTTAGAAAATGGAAGTTTCAACTTATAAGTTATCCCAATACATAGCTACATAAACCTTGGTGTTCACCCTCCATGTGCTTACATTTGCCTACTTGAAAATATTGACTAGAAATGTATCGTTATGTCAAAGATTCCTACGATGATTGGAACACGGTGTTGTTGGATCAATATGAAACTAGGGGAGTAGAGTTGTCATGTAATCCTACAGTTACTGCAGCGAAGTAAAAAAATGAAACAATTACGCTGCTATAGATTAGATGATCAGCAGTGCGAAGGAGTGATGGGTGACCATTCGAAACTTTCGTGTATGTGCTGCAATATTTTATACTGTTGAGATATTTGGAGACGTCTTTGAATAGAATCACATACTTCGAGCACGAGCTTATCTAAAAAAAGAAAGCGTTATATAACCTCCTTCTGTGGATGGCTAATAGCTTTTAGAAAGACGGATTATAGCGGAGAGCGAGTCTGCGAATTAGTTACGTTCATTTACTACTAGTATCAAGTTTTGGCTTGACATATCGAGTTTGATGGAAATCGAGTACGATTGCGATGGCATTGATATGAATTTTGCTTAAGCCAGTTGTTAAGTGCCTTCAAATCGTCTTCATATAAACGTTTATAGATCAAGTTACCATTTAATGCGGTGGCGTTCAGTTTCTGGAAACCAGCTTATACGTGATTATGCCTAGTAATAATGATAGTATTTAAAGATCCCTGAGTGGTTGCGGCTATTTTTAGCTGGAATTAAGTCCAGTCTCAATTTGAATAGTCGCTACATTTTTTGACGCATTGAAATGCTTCCATTAAATTAAATCTTGAAGTAAGGTATCAGGATCTTAACGTTTTGAGACGATTGCACTAATAATAAATATACCTTTATTACATTACATTTGGTAGAAAAGTCGTATTTTTGACGTTTCGTGGCTTAATTTAAGCCACTTCTTCTGAGTAAATAAACGACCGACATTAACTCAAGTTTACATATCACAAAGGAAACAATGCAAAATATTTTTAGTACAATTAAAATCATAATAGGTCTGAATATGTCAATGTGAAATTATTATTGATCAAGGGATCTCCAGTATCAACGATCGTCGCAAATTTATTTATGTCCCACATTGTGACGATCGTTTTGGCCAATACCATCAAGACCACTCATCTGGCTCAGATATGTAGATGACACATTTTTCATTATTGAAAAGACTTCTTACTAATTTTTCAAAACATCAAATTCACTGTCAAAAAGGCAGATGAACATAGTGAACCATCGTTCTTAAACTGTTTGGTTAAAAAGAATTCTAATGAAAGCTATATCCCGAAAAACGACACACCCAAATCGGTATATTGATTTTAACTCTGCACATGCATTTAGTGCCGAAATTTCCCTAACCGTAAATCTCTTCAAAAGAGCAACCAAAAACATTACCTCAGAAGAAGACAAGCTGATAGAAAAAGATAATACAACATACGTCCTACGTTCTAACAATTTTCCTAAAAATATTACCATAAACATATTAAAACAAAACTGTCCTTCGGTAAATAAAAACCTAATGAAATTTCATGTATTAGTACCGTAGTTTTACCTTACCACCACGGTACAAAAGAATTGCTGCGGAAATTTAAAGGTTTCTATAAGACAACTAACGCATTAGGAAACGCTTTAGTTGGAAATAAAGATAGGTATCCGTTCACTTTCACTCAAAATTGTCTACAGATTAGGCTGTATCGATTGTGATGCGTTCAATGTTGGAGAATCTCCCCGTAAGACCTCGACCCGTACCAAGGAACATTTAAGTTACACAAAAACCTAATCTCTAAAATTGGAAAATTCACAAATTAGCAATAGCAGTACATGTTATTTCCAATATTCACCAAATTGATATTAAAAATATCAAAATAATTCAGAAAGGGCTTTCTGACCACAAAGAGATGCGAGTAGCTAAAGCGTTTCACTTAATGCTAAATCCCACTACCTTAAATAGGAATGAAGGCCTGAATGATTCATTCAACCTGAACTGTTTTTCCAAACAACCACATCCGACTTTATTTTTACACACACAATCTCAACCTACTACTTTATATCACAAATGTGTACATCTCTCATGCCTACATTCTGACACACAAATTAGTACAGTGACAGGCCATGCAAGAATAATTTCACATTGACATATTCAGACCTATTATGATTTTAATTGTACTAAAAATATTTTGCATTGTTTCCTTTGTGATATGTAAACTTGAGTTAATGTCGGTCGTTTATTTACTTAGAAGAAGTGGCTTAAATTAAGCCACGAAACGTCCGAAATACGATTTTTCTACTCATTGTAATATGACACATTTATTATTAACTCTCTACACAATCCTCAATTTATTTGAAACTATGAAGTCCAACCTTGGTATGGATACCTGCTTTGCACTGATGTTAATAATTTCAACGATCATAGTATTCACATTGCATATTGACAATATCTCATACAAAATTGGACATTTTGACCAGTCCTTTTGTTAATAATAACGTAGAATGTTAAAACTTAACTACCAAGTCAATCTCTTAATTGTAAAGTGTAAGAGTATTGAAATCAGTCGAGAAACCAGTTGAAGTTTGGAAGCGCTAACAAGTTATTAACCAGCAAACGGTTGTCTTTTTCGTTCGCATATACAGGTTTCGGCTTGTCACTACTTAATACACAATAATTTTCTCCAATATCTCTTTGTTCAGTTATTTTTGTGAAAAAATATGGTAAATTAGCAGAAGAGATAAATCTGTATTTGATATTAAGAAGTATATATGTATATTGAACACAAATAATTAAAAGAACAGAGAAAAAAGCCAGCTTCATAGATGTCATATATGAATATATGTAGACTTTTATACCTTAATTAATAGATAACAAGAGTAGAATTCACAAAGAATAATGGTGTATATTAATAATGTGTCATTGTAAATCAACTTGGAAAATAAATTAGAATTTTCGTACTATAACACATAATTCACCATATATTTTATACAATGTACGGTATATATACGTAGATGAATGGGAGTTAATAGGTTTGCAGTCGAATATGTAGACAAAATTGCAATTTAATGGTTTACCATAATACATCATGTCTACTGAATATCAATATCAGTAGTTTGAAAGCATCTTAACAATAAGCAATGATTTGGTACATTGTATTTGAACTGCAACCCACCCATATACTTGAAATTTAGGATTATGATTGAGAATTCTTAGAATTAACAGAAAATTGAATCAGATAATACGATTAATGCAACAAATAAATGCCCGCAATACAATTTACACACATTTAACCAATAATAATATATAAAGATGTACGTTTCTGGTAAAGTGAAAGACTTAAGTGTAATGTAATGATATCAGCAAGAACAACTTTAATGTATAATAAGAATTATCTGAAAGGCAGGATGATAAAATCTCATATTTATATTTTAACAACGAGTAATCAAGAACGAAAACTAACATATTAGCTGCATAATTAAATGAAATGTCAGGAAACAAGTTATAGACAAGCAATTTTAGAAAATAAAGTCAGCAGGAAAATTCGAGAGACTAATGAAACGCAGGGATTTGTCTACTTTCTACACATTCAATTGAGTTGACTTTGTTTTCTATTATTTTCTTTTCATAATTCAGATCCATTCTGTTTATCCCTGTATATATTATTAGTATTGTAATCTTATTAATAAAATGCATAAGATGAATGTCCATACTTTATATGAATTAAAATATTAATGATTTCCGTATTTAGAAGTAAAAATAAGGAGAAAAAAATAATCAATTAATTAATCAAACAATACTAAATATTTATTCTAGTAAAATAATGCAATTTTCTTCTAGACGAACTTGAATAGAAATGATAGACATCTCAGCATGTGATTATAGAATTAATTATTACATACAATTTAGATATAGACTGATAGGTTGAGCGAGTTAGGCATATCACACGTAGGTGCTCAAAAGTTATCTTAGGGTTAAAGCGTCAGTGAAAAATTGTAAATGGAACACGCTGTTAGAGGACATCGATTATATTCTTAGTCAAGATCTCAATTTAAATATAGTTGACTGTATTGGAAGGATAAATGCAAATACAAATTCTGTTAATAATATCTTATTTCCTTTCACTCATGTCATATTCCTTTCAAAAATTATTGGTTTTTTCTGTTTTGTACGTAATAAACTATTGTAGTGTAGGATTTATTTGATTTAAAGTATAAACATAGTTTTTTTCATATAGCGATATCTGAGATGAGATTTAAAACTACAAAGATGATAAGACATAATGCTGACAACGTGAAAGCCATTGTGGTTTCTCAATTTCAAATTAAAAACGAGACGTATTATTCTGTGGTAAAGTTTCGTAGAAAAATTTTAAAGGGCCGAATAGTTTAAAGCATTCGTCCCATATAAAATCGCGTTCTAATTGAATGATTGTCATTAATGTGGAAATTATTGGAACATAAGATCGAAATAATGGAAAATGTCATCATAAAATTACGTTCTGAGTATTTAGAATGAATTTACGACAAACCATTAACACACATATTAAACATATAATTGTGGCTTAAAACAAGTGACATGTTGCAAGCAGTTGGCTAGTATGATTTCTCATATTATAATCACGATATATATATATATATATATATATATATATAGGTTTAGAACCGATCACAATGGCGTCGGTGTATACACTCTCTTTCTTCCCTTAAACTAAGAGATTGAAATCGCTTCATATCTTTCTTTATACGAACTAATTCCTTCTTCATGTACTATACCCTTATTGCAATCTTTCTTATATATATATTACCACCTCTGAATTAACTACTTTTATGAGTCCGGTGTCCATCTTGTTGTGTCAATGAGGTATGGCAACTTGGACTGATGCATAAATGT